ACCCGATGTTACCTCAGACTCACTGTCTGCGCCTTCCTGGTTCGGTAATTCCTCATTATCGTGATTTCCAGTACCGTTAGTGTGAGTGCCTCGAGATGGTGGCTGAGGTGTAGTTCTCAAACGCAAGGTATGGCTAGAATGCCAGATATCATAACAACTTTTGCGCAGTCCAGGATAGACCCGCACACATAGGGGTACGGAGCAAAGAGAACATTGAAACGATGTACGGTGACCACGCCAAGCTGTGGTTTGCTGTCCACAGAGCGTACAGCGCTTAATAAAGCGTCCTTGTCTCGGTGAATGACCTCTTATGTGAAGACGAAGTAGTTTGCCATCTGTAGAATTGAAGAAGGTAATACGATTCCTTTTCCGTGTCACAGCCATCATAATAATTCTTTTAGCTTCGTCACTTTCAGCATCTAATTCCTCCGGAACGGAATCCTCAGTAGGTACAACATTTAATGTGTCTGCATAACTTAGAAGTTCTTGTGCGACATCAAAAATAAAATCAGCAGTTGCCTGAACCTTTTTCAGGCCGTTACGGTAGCTGTCGATAGATTTGAAACTGGCAAAGGTACTTATAGAATCAGAGCGTTCGTGCATCCTCCATGCTAGAAATGCATTTACAGCCAGTGTCTTTAAGGTCTGTGAGACTAGCTTTTGTTCCCATTTGAAATGCGAGGTCGATGAGCGCATTATGGCACGTTGTTGAGTTGCACCGTCCACACCGGCTTTTGTCTTGGAATATAACGTTTGCGAAGCATGTTTGAAAAGTTTCAATGGTACAAACGGCCCATGCTCTGTGACATGCTTGTTAATAGTCATCCAGAACTGATGTCGAGATCGGATTACATCCTTCATAGATTCATCTATGAAGGATGGCATCTGAACGCTCGTTTCATGCGCCCACTGCAGGAAAGGGCCTCCGACAGTTGTTTCCTCTGTCTTACAAATCGTCGAGATCTGGAGCGGGCATCTGGCAAGTATCATGTATAAAATCCCGGTCTCCCCAGCACATACGTACAGAGAAATCTGAAGCTTCGTTACCACCAACTGATGCAGTATTTATGTCATGTGTTCACTTGGGATGTACTTTCGGAATGTTTCATCACCAACTTCACATTTTATTATCTCTCCCGAAGATAGTTGTATCGCCTCTCCTAGAGTGGCGACCGCGACACGTGTTTTTATCTCGAGGCAAGCAAGCACCACTGCCTGGCCGTCAACAGTTAAAATGTCAGCATCAAAATTGTTCAATACTTGACAGTGCTGCGCCAAAATAACAGCGATGCCGTCTGTCGAACATGCAAGATAGCCGGCGTCTTTAGCTGCAAACATTCCATTCTCAAACACAGTAGCAATAAACGGCATAGATGATAAAGCTTGAATCACAGCTCCTTCATTAGCAGTGCCTCGCATCATAGGTTCGGTTCATGCTTTGGAGCTAAACCATCCTTGGCTAAACAGGGAGAATCTCTCTTTCATTGTGAGCTCTGTTTGGTTATGCAGCGGATGTAGTCCAAGTTTCGAACGTATTAGGCTATTATTCATAAGTATCTTCCCCGCATTTGTTCCCGTTAGACGAAATTGTCGTAGGACAAACCAATCAGCAGTTCGTTGTGTTACTGTTAGAACATCACAACTTCTCGAGATCTCCTGTTCCACCTTCTCTCTTATTTCTTTAAACCTGGCATTCTTACACTCACATTTGCTAAAAAGTGTCATCTCCAGGTTCAGGTTTGGTTTAGGAACGGCAATCCATGTGTTCAAACATTTTTGAACTGCGTCGGGAACTGTGTACAGGAAGCGCAATACCTTTGCAAACTTCACTGTACCTCTCTCACGGACAGCAATGGCAGTCATTTGGTTCAATCCGACCCTTGCCTCATCTGTTGCAACCCTCTTAGACGCGATGAAGCAGCCTGGGCCCAGTTCTGGCGCGTCATCTATTTTAAAACGCGACGGACGGTCATACTGAACACGAAACGCTCCCTCTTCAGCGCTCCCTGGATCTTGTGCAGTGCTGCTGGCGGGCAAAGTTGGGCTTTGCGTCTGGGCTTCTACTGCACTCTCGTTTTCGTCCTCTCTCATCGGTTTATAAAACGATTTTCCAGCAAACGGATGACACCTTTGTAAATGCTGAGCCATCACGAAAATAGACGCCAAACCATTCTTCATTAACAGCCCTACAAAGGACTGCTTCCCATAACTGCGATCCGCCGTTATGATGCATCCGTTTAAAGCAACTTCCCGTTGTCCGTCTACAAGATCACCAATCAACTTGCTTACGGAATCTACTTGAGATTCACCTCTCCGTCTAAAACGTACTCCAATAGTAATGCGGAATAAAGCATCCGCAACGGAATCAGCTGAATGCCCCTCCTTGTCCGCCTTCCTTGCACTAAGCGTTTTACCTTGATTGTCGGCAGCCCGCGTCCCAAACAAATCATCGTCGAATGTGGCAAAAAGATGCAGTGGATTGAAGAATACCTTCTTTGTTTCTTTGAAAGCAATACGCTCGAACTCCGATAAGTACCTAGTTTGATCCCTCTGTGCATTCCAACTAGATCCGCCTTCGTTACCACGCCCCGTTGGGGAATACGCCAGTATGTTGCCATCTATGAATCTCATACGTTCAAGCGAGGGTACTTTGCAACCTGATAGACGAAGAATCAGAATGGCCTTTTCGAAACTAAAACCAGTACAGTGAGACATCAATAAAACAGAAACGTATTGGTACGAATCAGCCAATGTGACTGCAGATACTGCCTCGGCACGAAGGGCGATGAGTTCGTTGAGCCACTGAACACACTGCCGCAAAATGTCGCCCATGAATAAGATCACAAATCCAGCTCTAGTTGGAGCAATCGTCTTCACTGTGCACTGCATGCCCATCTTCTCAACGGCTGAAATACAGAACAGTCTTGCCCGCTCTCCAATTATCTCATCCGAAAAGTCATTTTCCAACATCACACTTTTGCATGTATCTGACCCTACCGTCCACCCTGTTGTAAAATCAGCGACATGCGTGTGGCGTTCTGACGTCCTCTGGCGAGCGCATCCTCGGACAAGACGTCCACTGCGACCTCTAGGGCGTCCTCGGGAGGGCGTTGGAACCGCTCGGCCGCTATGGGCAGCAACATTGCCTGTGAAATCTCCTGTGGCTCTATCGATCCCTGCAGGTGGAATGGCACCATTCCCAGAATGGTTTTGCTGCTCAATACTTGGTTCATTTGTCGCATTGGGCTCGGGAGAGCCAGAGGGAAGATCCGACGATATCACGTTGGCCATGCTGGGGGACATGGGGAGGTTGCCGGTGCTTGCGGCGAAATACTCAACGGTTTTGAGATCATGAAAATCGAGCGTGCAGAAAAAAGCAAGCGGAATACGTCCAAGCTTACAGAATAAGTCTCGATAGGGCGGAAACCGAGTAAGGCGCTGCCGATTACCTCCCAATTTTCGGGTCTTATGCACAGTGAAGTGGACATAAGCCCCTAAAATAAAAAATCTATAGTTTTTATTATGGCCATTTTAATGGCCATATAGAGCATTAGGGATATGATTGATGTGCTTTGAGCCCTGCACTCCCAGTTCTGGTTATGACCACGTCACGCAGCGTTGCGCCCAGGAATTACAGTGAACTGGACAGGCTGTGTTGGATTGTGGAAGCTTGTCGCTGCGTATTGGTGTTTCTGTAGATTCCCATAGAACCCCCTGCAGCGATACAAAAGGGCAGAGTGCTGTGAGTAGCTCAAAAATGGCCATCAATTTCCACAAAAATCTGCGTTTTTGACCCTTTGGAGTCCATCAATTGGGGTATGATAACTAGGAGGAGAGCCCAACAATTGATGGTCTCGAATTTCCCGTACTCGGGTCCAAATTGTGGCCCGACTATGCATGATCCTCTTTATGCACACGTGGGGTATATTCAGGGGGGATTTTTATTTTTCGGCAGACCTACCCAAGGGTACCCTTCGAAGGGTACAAGTATGTTAAGGTTGGAATTAGAGATTCCAGATCAACGAGATATGATATAAAACCTTGATTTACAAAATGTTTTTGATGGATCCCATATAGGTGTTCCACGGACCTATTTTTGCATAGTGGTCATCCGGCCAGTAAATGATCGAGGTTCTCCTTGCAGTATCGAGGTTCGAGTATTGCGAGGTTCTCCTTCATCCTTTCGTCTCGTTCCACTGTACACGATCTACCCTTCGAAGGGTACTGCGTGCACATGAGATCAAACAATATTTGAGCTTTCGCGGCACAATTTTTGAAATATTTGGCAAAGAATTCTGCAATGAACGTTACATTGAAATGGTTGTCGTAGATTTCTGAAATTCAGTCGTGACAAAAATTGGTGAAAAGTGAGTTGTTAACCCAACCCTATAAGCACTAGTTGTTCCAATTGAAAGACAGCTGCCTGACAGCTGTCCGATATTTCGCGAAGGCATACACGACTCTGTGTGGACTCTGTATAACATGATAAGTTTGCTGGAAGTTTGAGTAAGCGAAACGTAGAGTTTTCGCGGGAGGTTTTTGCAAAAAGCCTCAGCAATGGGGCTATTTCTGAATTTCTGCATTGTTTTCGCTGCAGACCGACCTTGTTTGCGAAAGCTCCGTATTTAGTGGTTTAATTTCCGAAGTGTCCGTTCCACGCCTTGCCCGCACCGCACCAATGCAGGATACTGCACCTGCAAATCGAAAATACAGTATGATAATTCTGACGACCACAGAATGCTTCTATGGTCAACGGCGATACCGCGTAGATGCGCGCATATACGCGCGGGCTGACTGCCCACGGATGGCGTGCAAACTGTCGACGAGGTTACACCTTTTAGGTTACACCTCATCACCCCTAATCACCGCTCCTCAGCATCCTTTATAAACCCTTGCTCCTCTCAGCCGCCCGACACCAACGCCCCCGCCAACCCTGCAGCCCTACCCGTACCCCGTCAAGAACAAACTCGCCCCAGCCACTCCCACCCTTCCCCACAACCATGTCTCCACAAGCTTTTGTCTCGCCAGTGCCCTTGTCTTCGCTGCGCCCGAGTCTCTCGACCTCGCTCACCCAACGCCGGCCCTCCGCGACACCATCGCGTACTGCCACCAGGGCCATGATGGCCGATGATCGCAGCTCGATCGACTTCGGGAAAGTCGACATCAAAGGGGCCGGCGAGAATCTCTCCGGTCTCATTTTTACCCCTGAGTCCGAGTCCCCGCTCAAGACCCGCTGCGACGTCGGCTACACTGAGCAACAGGAAGCCGCCGTCAACAGACACATCAACGTTGAGTACACGGCCTCTTATGCATACCACGCCATCTGGGCCTACTTTGACAAGGATACCGTCGCTCTCCCTGGCTTTGCAAAGTACTTTGCCGAGCAGAGCGAAGAGGAAAGGACGCATGCTGCTGAGTTTATGAAGTATCAGAACAAGAGGGGAGGAAGCGTCGAGCTTCAGCCTATTGCTGTCCCGGAAATGACCTTTACGCAGGAAGACGGCACTAGTGACGCTGTCTATGCTATGGACTTGCATTTGCAGCTGGAGAAGTTTGTGTTCCACAAGCTCAGGGCCCTGCACAAGGTCGCACAGGACGCCGGCGATGAGCAGATGCAGGACATGATTGACGACTACTTGACTCACCAGATTGACGCCATCAAGACAGCCGCCGACTATGTGGCCCAGCTCAAGAGAGTGGGGACGCCGCACGGGATCTACCACTTTGATCTCAACCTCCAGGGATGCTAAAATCGCCATTTTTGGTGTAGAGTAGGTGTGGACACGGCAGAGAGTTTTGGTTCTTCTTGCCGGTTGGAGGGGTGTGGACACGGCACAGAGTTTTGGCTCTGCTTGCCGGTGGAACGACCTGACTACCGACACCATCAGGTGACCATCAGGTGTCGGGGTTGGACGGTGTGCACGAGATGACGGGTGTGACTGATCCATTTCCATTTACTGTAGCGGGTGTACTTTTGTTTTATTTTTCAAAGATATGCACTGCATTTGATTTTGAATGGGGATACCCACTGCTGTTTTCCATGTCATTGGTGCGCTTTTTCATGTTATGCGCTGATTTGGGTTTGAAACGGGTGTGTCTTTCTGTTGTGTGTGTGTGTGTTTTTTTATCGTCACCAACCCCTGCAAACTCCAGTTCGCGTCTCATTCTCTGTTGTATGTGTACTGTATAAATGCATTTGTCGTCGAAAATCCATTGCTCGGTCGGCGTAATGTACAATAGGTACATAATTTGTCGAAATCAATTATTTTTTGATAGAGCTGCAAACCTGAGGTGTTTCAGGTGAGATTCGCTTGTACATGCTCTAGTTCTGCGTTCCGGTGGGGCTTCTCTGAGAATTACCCTTCGAAGGGTAACTCCTGTCCCGCAGACTTTGGAATGCGCTTTCCAAAGCGCTCTCCGCGTGCGATGATTGTATCGAAGCGCAGCAACTTGGGCTGTACAAAGTGGCCATGTCATGTTTTTACAGTAAGCGAGTAGTGGTAGTAATAATGTTTGTAGTAAGAGTCACGAGAAAGCGTCCGTTCCGCCATTCCCAACAGGCGGTTCCCAAAAAATAAACGGGCAACTATCGACCTCTTGTTCCCTGAGGCAATTTTGCAAAACGCGCCATTCAGCGATTCGATGAGTTACAAAAAGTACTCCGGCGCTGGTTTCTTGAGCGTGGCGCTCCTCGCATCCTGCGGGGCCGCATTAAAGACATTGAAGGATCTCCCCAACTTGTCATCCAGTGTCAAAATGGCGGCCACATTGCCGCATCGGTAGCAATAATTTGGAGCGCTCCACACAGTTACCAACGTATCATTGAACATGTTCTTGTAACCCTCCATGACCAGTTGATGGGCGCGCGCGATAAGTTGGAGCCCGTTGACGTGGTTGAACTGAGCGACAATATCGGCTCCGAAAAGATAGCCGGCGCCTCTCGGAGACATGTTCCAGCCGGGGACGTGCTCTGGATCGCTCCAAAGCAAATCGCACATGGCGCCGTCATGCGGGACCTCCTGCTTGCGATCGATGGCGCGAATTTGGTCGAGGGCGTTGATGCTCGGGGATAGCCCGCCGTGGACGCAGAACGCCTTGCCGTCAATCAAGGAGCCTAGGGATAAGAAATCAAACACCTCCGTGCAGTACCGCCACACGTTGGCGTTGCCATACTTCCGCAGACACTCGTCGTAAAAACCGTACACCTGCGTGATCTGGCGGCTTTCATGGTTGCCGCGGATGAGGGTAACGCGGTCAGGCCAGCGGACTTTGAGGGTGAGCAGGAGCAAAAAAGTCTCGACCGAGTTGAATCCCCTGTCTACAAAGTCGCCCATGAAGAGATATTGGACGTCCGGGAGGGGGCCGCCCGTGTTGAGGAGCTCTAGCAAGTCGTAGAACTGGCCGTGGATATCGCCGGCGATCGTGACGGGGGCGGAAACCGGCTGGACATTGGACTCGTCGACGAGGAGTTCGCGGGCGCGGTCGCAGAGCTGCTTGACCTCGGCCTCGTTGAGATACTCACAGCGCTTGAGCTGCTCGATCCAGCCGTCCAGGTCGGCGGTGGTCATGTGGGGTGGGGATTAGGATGGGTGCTCGCGGGGCCTGGTGCGGTGGGCGGGTGGGGGAGGGGGGAAGAGCGGATGCGGGTGAACAGGGAGAGGCGGGATGATGTTGACATCAAATGCAGGGGAGTTTTTCGGCGGCTGTAAGGAGGACAACCGTGCACCTGACGGGGGTGCCCAATCGCAGCCAGGCCGCGTTGCGTTGCCCGTTGCCGCCTACTGTACGACTGCCCTCGCCCAATCCGGTGCACACACGTGCACAGTCGCGCATTCTCACCTGCTTCTTTCGCTTCGACCAATCTCTGCTCATGTCCACATCGCCCGTGTCGTGATCACCTATCCGCGCCGTCCCTTCGCCCTCCCAATCCTTCCCACAGGTCCGGCGCTCTGTCGACCTACTGCGGTTCGGACATGGTGGAGGAAGACGCCCTCGCTGCCGCCAAGGCCGCCCTGCTGGCGGAGGTCGCAGCGCCTTCATCGAGCGCCCGCCAGAAGCCCAGACGGCGGCGGAGGGGTCGTCGGAGGCCGCGCACCCACCGCTTGGGTGCCGCCGCTGACGGTGCAGCGGATGACGCGGGAAACGTTGTAGAATACGTAGGAGAAGATATCGAAGCCGTCGTGGGGGACGCGGCGGATGCGGCCGGCGGCTTGTCACAGGCCGAGATCGACGTGATGCGGGAGGTGCTCCGACGCTTTGAGGGGCGTGGGGCGGATCCCGAAGAGCATGAGGGGGAAGAGGGGGAGCAAGAAGGAGAGGGGAAGCAGGATGTGGATAAGGATATGAATGGAGACAAGCGAAATGCCGCTGTCAGTGGAAAGCAAGATGAGGAGGAGGACGACGAGGCAGATGCCGAAGGGGATGGCGAGGGGAATCACGGATCTACGGCCATGTCACGCAAGCAGCGCAAGGAGCACCAGCGCAACCTCATCTCGCATCTCAAGGCTCTTTCCGCCGCCCCGGAGGTTGTGGAGGCCTGGGACATCACGGGCCCGGACCCGTTGCTGCTAGTGCATCTCAAGGCGCTTCCCAACTCAGTTCCTGTCCCGTCCAACTGGCGCCAGAAGCGCAAGTACCTGCAGAACAAGCGCGGTATGGAAAAGCGCGCCTTTCAGCTCCCCGCCTACATTGTCGACACAGGCGTGGGCGAGCTGCGCCACGCCCAGATGGAGGCCGACGAGAGCAAGTCCCTCAAGCAGCGCCAGCGCGAGAAGATGCGCGCAAAGACGGGGCGCGGCGTCGAGATCGATCACGCCAGGCTCCATGACGCCTTTTTCAAGTTTCAGACAAAGCCCCGCCTCACCCCGCACGGTGATGTTTACTACGAGCTGCGTGAACTCGAGCCAGACGCATCCAAATTTAGGCCAGGCGTGCTTGGCGAGGAGCTGCGAGCGGCCCTCGGCATGGGTGAGGGGGATCCTCCGCCGTGGCTGGTCAATATGCAGAGGTACGGGCCGCCCCCCGGGTGGAGGGGCCTTCGAGTGCCAGGCGTTAACTGTCCTATTCCGAGCGGGGCGAGGTTTGGGTTTCAAGCCGGGGGGTGGGGGAAACCGCCTGTGGATGGGCGGGGGAGGCCGCTCTATGGGGATGTCTTCGATGAAGGTTTGGAGTTTGGGGAGAGGGATGAGAGGTTTGATTTGTCAGAGGCGGCGAAAGCCAAGTTGTGGGGCGAAGTGGAGAAAGTTGCGAGCGAGGACGGGGTTCGTGTTGTGGCAGAGGAAGAAGAGACAGAAAAGGAAGAAGAAGGGGAAAAGAGGAGGGATGTGGAAAGCGCCAGAGTTGCATCAGAAAAGGGAGTGGAAGTGCCGGAAAGTGGAGCGGCAGTAGTAGGAGATGCACCAGTGCGGAAGGGAATTCCCGCTGGGCAGCTATATTCTGTTTTGGAAGAGCAGCAGGTTTCTGTTGGCGAGACAGGGATGATGGGTTCATCGCATGTTTACCGGGTGAATGAGACTGGTGAGACTGGTGGTGGAGAAGACAAAGGAGAAAAGCGAAAGCGAGACGAGAGTGCGGTGGAGGTGAAACGGACGCAGAAGAAGGCGAAAGAATTCAAGTTCTAGGCCGATGGGAAATAATCTTTACAAGGTGAAATACAGACCAATCGCAACAAGGCGTGGTACAATCTCAAGCAAGGGCTGGCGTTCCGAAAGTAACAAGCAGACAAGCGCGGGCGGCTATCCGCTGCGGAAGAGAAGGATGGCAATCTTCTCAATGTAAAAATAGAGAAAGCCAGCCCCCTCATGTGTAACGTAGGAGCCGAAGTGGCGGCCGACAATGCAATGCCACGATGGTTGGAAGCGGGCGTCAAACTCCTTCTTGAGATATTGGGCCATATCTCGCTCAAGCTCGAAGCGATCGAGGGCGACGAGAGCAAGCTCGATTGCCTTGCGCTGCATGTCGTCGGGCATGTCAGCAGATTTGACGACAACACGCGGCTGCCGGGAGGCAGGGATGTGGCGCGCGGACGAGGGAGCCGGGGCAGGGGGGCCAGGAGCGGTCGCCGGTGCTGATGCGGCCGGGGCGGTTGTTGCTGTCATCTTGAGGGGTTAGAAAGGTGCGGGGGCGCGGTGTGTGAATGCGGGCGAAGGAACGGAAGTGCAAGTTTGAGGGTGTTGAGGTGAAAATGGCGCGGAGCTGCAACGAGCTGTGTAAAGGCGCCAGGGGTTCGACGGGTGTATCCCAGAAAGCTGATTTTCGGGACTTGAAAACGCATGCCGCTTGTTTTCCCATTTGTGGCAGCACTGGATTCAAAAGTTCAGGCCACACGTGTAGAACGTCATGCCACGTATGCAACGCTGGCATGGTTTGCAACCTTTGCGACGTGGAAAGCAGATTGGGCGCTGCGCGTCCGTTTCCAGTTTGTATTCAAATTGTACCCCGCGCCTTTCAATCACGTCAGACCTCCCGCCTCCATCATCATGCATCATTTCGAATTCACTCAAACACTCATGCACTGACCCTCTTCCGCCTCGCCACCGCCTCATCGCTGCCCGACCTCGCGCCTCGCCATGGAATCCCGAGAAGAAATCGAGTCCATGCGCGTCATCGACCTTCGCGACTTCTTGCGCCGCAATGGTAGCCTCCCCGCCGTCGTCACCCGCGGCGATGGCACCCCGGGCGCCCCACGAAAGGCCGATCTCATGCGCGCTGCCCTCGCCATAGAGGAAGCCCACCGCCAGGGACGCCCCATCTCCTCCCTGGCAGAGCAGCCGGCCCTGGCCCCGTACACCCCGCCAAGCCCTGCCAGACGCATTCAGCGACGTCCCGCCAACGACGACGACAACGACGACTTCAACATTCCCAACCCCTTTCAGTCGGGCATACCCACCCCGACAAGGACTAAGCCCAGTCGTTCCTCCATCTCAGTGCCGTCCTCCCGCCCAATGGCGGAAGGCCCGTTGGACCAGACCCCTGTCGCCCCGACCTCGGAGCGCCGCAAGAGACGGGCAAGCGCCGCCTGGATCAACCCCGCGCTCTTTAATAAGATCACATCCTCTACCGCCCCGAAGGCCGCTCAAGCCAACGACAAAACCTCCAATGTCGCCCGCGCGGTCACCATTCCGGATGACAAGCCCATCCTCGTCGAGGATGAGGCCCCACCGCGTCCCGCCATCGGTGGCTCCGCCAGACGTTCGAGGACACCCTCAAAACCTATCCTGGCCACCCGCAAGAGCGTGCCCGCAGCCGAGGAGGTCATCACCCTCGCCCCGTTGCGCGACCTCGACCTGCCAGAGGAAGACGACTATGACGCAGACTTCGATCCGGACTCTGATATCCTGCTCGATGACCCGCTGGATGACGACGAATACAACTATCTTGATGTCCTCCCGTACAATGACCCTCTGCTGCGCGCCTCGGGCTTGGATGCCGACCGTCGTGATGTTCTCGTCCACAGCGATCACGACTCCACCATTGACACCGATGACGAGCTTGTTCATGACCAGTTTTCATCATGGGACGTCTTCAGATTGAGGAAATGGCTGAAGGGCAAGAAGGTCCGATATCCCAGGGACGCTCGAAGGATTGATCTTGTTAGCCTTGCAAGGGCCCATTTGTTACAGATAGAGGCATCTTCGCAGCAGTTCGTCGAGGAGGATGTCATCCGTCCGGCTACCAAGATGGCGTCTGAGCGGAAAAAGTCGCAATTGGCGAGGGGTAACCGCACCATATCCGCCCCGACAGAAGATGAAGATGATACTGACTCCCCAATTGATGTTGATGCCATTCCACCAACTGTGCCGTCTAAAGTGCACCGCATCAGGAGGGGCCGCACAAAAGGCCCGAGGAGGGTTCCGGTACATCCACGACGACGTTTTCGATTCAGCGCGAGCGCGTTCGTTGTTCTGTTGGGATTCCTACTGTGTATCATGTGCATCTGGTCTGCGGCTACGGTGTACCGAAGCCATATGAGACCGTTTTGTGATACCCATGTCCTGACAAGTAAGTTATACAGCTTTGGGCGTTCGTATGTGGAGAGACTTACGGAGACTTGGAACACGTTCTCCGAGCAATGTGCCAATTCTGCCGAAGAAACTCCATATAACTGGCGCCAAGACTAGCTTGTGTCAATAGAGAGCTTCAAAGCATGCCACGACTGTGTTTGTTGCATTGCATGCTTTAGTCTCTCACAGTGATACCGTAAGCTAACAAGATTCAATTCCTCCCTTCTCAAACTGCATTTTGGTTTCTGTCCAACCGCACTCGACTTGAAATTGATTATTAATATCGAATTTCCTCATTTCTTCTGGTACTTCTACGTATCGTTTGGACAGATTGCACTGATGTCGGGCAAGAGTGCCGGAGATGCCCGCCGTATGGAACATGCAGCAACGGAATATTGTCTTGTGATCCTGGTTATGTTGCCCTGGGTGGGAAGGTATGCGTTGAAGACCAGGAGAGTAGCATTTTCGGTGAAGAACTGGCTAATGACGCATACACACTGCTTTCACAGTTAGCTGGCAGCGCCGAGTGCGGTGAGATTACTTCGGGAGCACTCTCGCGGGGGGAGCTGAAGACAGCCTTGCGGTTGAAACACTCTGAAAGGCCAAGTGGAGGACCGTTTCCGTGGAGCGCGCGGACTTTTGATCTTGCAAAGTTCGAGATTGCGTTCGACAAAGCTGTGAATAGACTCGAAGATGGAGACTTCACGGAAGTATCTGTATCGGAATTTGGTGATTTCAAATCGGATTCTCCAGTTATGTCTTTAAGCTGCGCTGCCAAGTTGTCATTGCGCCGAAACTGGCGTGTCGTATCAGCTTTTAGCGTGACTTGCCTGCTTCTGCTATTTCTGAAAGTATGGCTCTACATCCGAAGACGACAGAAAGAAGAGCTATATGACGCCTATCGGTTGGCAGTGGATTATCTGAAAACGCAGAAGAGCGGGTTTGTTCGTAGGGAAGAAGAACTTGCTTTCCTTTCTGACATTGTCCTCCGACAAGAGGTGCTGGGATCTCCAACAGATAGGACAGTTCGATTGTGGAAAAAGGTGGAGGAGCTACTCAGGGCTGACAGTCGAGTTGTCTGGAGTGCAAATAGGGTTGTGAAGGGATTTCCTTCTAACACTTTTGAATGGCGAGGTCGACTCTCAAGTGGAGTTTTTAGCAGTGGTGGTAGTCTACGTAGCTTGGATAGCACAAGTATGTCTGACGGAGAGGCCATGGCCCCAGCAAGCGAGTCATGGCTGGACGGTGCTTGGGATCGGCTTTTTAACAGATACTGATTTGAAGATCCATAGATCGGGGGCCAAGGATATGACGAACGTAGCGCCAGTTGCTATATTATTGGGTTGCGAGAAATAAACTATTCGTGCTGTGATAATTGCACTAGAACTAAACAATGCTCTGGTTGAGGGTTGTCGTGCTGTCGAGTACTGCCACAAACCATTTCTGGGCAGTATTTCTTAGAAAGATCCTCGCATTATCCACAGACCCGACGTTCCTTGACGTCAAACGGGTCTATACGTAGCGACATAGTTACAAACTGAACGAAAACAGCCGTCTTACATGTTCCCGCCTGGTTCAAAATGGTATCTCGCCGATTTTATCGCATTGCATCTCCGTACTACTAAATTATTTGATCAAAAAGAGGGGCTGGATCTCTGGAGAATTGCAATCAAGAATACGCCTGGAATGGCATGGATTATGTTGAGACTCTTTTTTAACAATGGTGCAGGTAACAAGTTTCTTACATCGGTCATCATGGTCTGGTTGAGACAATCCCTCATTCCATCCGTTTTCTGTCGCAAAACGAAGAATTGAAAATATGGTCCAATGCGCAGCCCTACCGACGATCAATAGTGAAGGACTATGGTCTACACAAGTTGAGGCAATTACGAACTTCGATAGCCTACACTTTGAAAATTCCTAGTTCTGCCCCGTCACCGGAAGGCATGTTCTTTAGGGAGGGCCACTACTTTTTGAAAGGGGTGCTCTAAAGGTGATTGCAACGTACAATATCACGGACAGAGCTGCCGAGACCTGCTCGCTTAAAAAAAACATTAATAGCCTTGTAAGGTTACAGTAAATGTCGGTGTCTGCCGTATTCGCTATGATCCCGTCGCTGCGTTTCACAGGCAATGTCTAAATTGCGCGTACCAAACACATAACATATATGCTTAAGGTTCAACGGAAGATTCAGTCGTCTGAAATCCCGCACAAGCATTCAGCCACGGTAAGGCAGTGTTGGACTTAATCCATTCAAGTTGCTGTGATCTTTCGGGCGCCGGGCTCAATTCCTAAGAGGCTTAGTCTTCAATGGAATGAAGGGAAGAGGCATGGTCAATTGTATGCAAAGGGGTGGAGAGACGAAATAAGTCTCGCGTCCTGTTTTGAATATCGTAATGAGCAACTTTTGGTATACCGCTCCATGAAATGAACATGCTGCGACCCCCTTTTTTCCTGCTCCGAGAACATCGACCAAGATTTATATTTCAGTGCACCTTCCAACAACAAATATATAGGACAATCCGCTCTACGGTATGTTTGCAGTTAACAGTATTCTTCCACGGACGGCATTGTGCTCTTCAGTACAGCACAGACGCAGTGGCGACAACGAGGGGCTCACGAGACAGAGCGCGCCTAGAAGAACCGCAAACCGCCGTTCTCACTTCAGCAAACAGTTCAATCTTCGGCTTGTATAACGACACAGCGCCTCGGGTGAAGGGGTAGAGCGCTCACCAGTGAAAGTGTCCGGGGCTTGACGCGGTTTGACTGGAGGCTCGCCCCAAAAATGAAGAGTCGGAACTTCCGGTCTGCTGGCGTTTTTTCGCCGGTTTTTTGATCCGCCATTGCCTGGGTGCGTTGCCAGCTGTAGTTGGGCCACGTGGTAATAGGCCACGTGTGCGGGCTAAAGCGCCGGCGGCGACCGGCGCTGCCGACGGATAATTTAGGTCTACAATTTTATTGAAATAGCGCCGACCAGAATTGGTCGGCGCACCGGGGGGCCAGAGGAGGCTACGACCCCGGGGGACATTGTGCCCTTCCTTCTTCGCCGCGCCACATCCCTCTCTCGCGACTATCGTTCCACCCCCTCGTTCGCCCTACTGCTGCGCGATGCGCGGATACTACGAGCCGCCACCACCCGCCACCATAGTTATGGGCCCAGGGTTGAACGAAAAGAAAGACCTGCGCTCGCGCTTAGATCCCCCATTCTTTTACCCGAATGGTGATCTTCAGGATTGGCGCAAGAAGGTCTACCGCTGGGTGGATCTTATCAAGCACTCCGCTCTTTCGGGCCCTGATCCGGTCTACAAGACAATCTTTGCCACACTTGGACGCGTCTTGTACGACCGCGGCCTTCCGAGCGCTCAACAATCTATCGTTGATGAAGCTCAGGCCAAGAACATCATCGACTACAAGCAGGAGGACCAGATCGCGGCTGTGGCTGACATTGTGGAGTTGATCGCCGTCGATCCTCCCATTGCAGTCGTAACCCGTTTAATCAACTCTTATAAAAAGGTCACGACGTGTCGCAGAAAGAAGAATGAAGATCTCTCCGTATTTGTTTCAAGATTCCGTGGTCTTGCAGCCGAACACCTCATCCATTCAAATGTAACTAGCGGCTCGCAAATCGCCAAGGTGTTGGCAATCACTCTCCTCAATAATGCAAACTTGGAAGAGGGTACGCTTACCAACGCAAAGCTTCAGCTAATTGCCCTTGCGGAAAATCGAAAAAAATGTCACAATAGTGACTCTCAAGACACTGTGCAAGTCCCCTGAAGCTTTTTGAAGGATGTAGAAGACTTGAAGCAGAAGTACCAAGTTTTGGAGGATCTGCATGGTCCGCTCTCCTACAATCAGTCTAAAGGTGCGGACGGGTTGTTGCGGGCCATGAAAAGTATCGCCGAGGAGCTATTTCAGAGTCTAACAAGTTCGCCGAATGCTTGGAACGCATTGTTATCCCGACGGCAACCAACTCCTCTGACGCCTCAGTCGAGTCAAGGATTCTTTCGAAAAAGCAAGCCTGTCGACTCAATCTTGATGACGCCGTTTCCGTTCTTCGAAACCTCACTCTCACGGCGTTCAGCTCTTCTTCGTCGATGAGCATGAGAGAAGTAGAATCTCTGGTCCAACGCAACGTGCAGCAAGCCCTATTTTCAGTTGGATACAGGTCCGATCGCAAAGTGGGTGCTCGAGGTGAAATCAGGCATGCAAAGGATGACATCAACAACAAGACCCGTCGTGGAAAGAGAGGTCGAGGGGAAGGTGGACCAAGTGAGAAGTCGCTTCCTCCCCCCAACCTTCGCAGGCAAGTCTGCTTTGACTGCGGCGATGAAGACCACTATGCTGGAGATATGCGTTGCAAATTTCCCAGCAAATACACCATTACGAAGCGGCGTCCCAATCCGACCCAAATGACTTCTTCCCAGGGACAAAGGCAGCAAAAGAATTTTTTCGCCCAGGCTCCAGCTCCGGACAAGGAAACAACTAAGCCTTATGTCGGATCGTGGAGCCGTGTCTGACGTCAGAACGGGTCTCCAAGACGTTAACCCGATTCTGGACGTCGGATGTCCACGCAGCGTCGGAGGAATCGAAGCTGCGGGGGCGTTGTGCCTTGCTCTCGGTATCTCCTTCGAGCTGCGACTTTTGGACTGCGACCCTTTCTTCCACGGGTATGGCATGCACTGCAGCGAAGCGGAACTTACCATCGCCATATGGGATATGCTGGTCAAGGATGTCTTCGGACAGGAAGCCAAGATTCCGTTCTATTTGACACCCGGTAACGGCTTCCTGTTACTCGGCAACGAGATCCTTCACCAATCTCGTTTGCTGGGTCCGGAGAACCTTCTCGTAATTCCCGCAGGCGTTCGCGGCATTTCAAGAAAGCAGCTAACGCTGCAGACGTACAGCGAACCCGTCTCATTGGAAGACAAGGACGCCAAGAGAACATACCTCTTCATTGTCCCATCCAAGACGTCAACGTTTAAGGCGTACTTTGCCACGTATCGGACCCTTTTTGTGAATAAGGGTGATCGATCAGCGTTGAAGAGGGAGAGGTTGTCGGATGGCAGGGTTTCCAAACAATTTGCCGTCCGGCTTCATGGGTTCAGCCATCTACCTTTGCAGGACATGTTGACGCTTTGCAAGAGAGGCGGAGTTCTTACTCCAATTCTGCGGCAAGCCCTGAGCACCGTCGTAAGCAAGTGCACTTCTTGCAAATCTACGGGGAGACCACTGATCTCTCGCAAGGTCTCTTTTAGCAAGATCCTTGCCTCCTTCAACAGCCACGTCCAGATCGACTTCATGTACATTGTCGAGCTCTGCAAGAAGCCGATACTCCATCTGGTCGACGTGCACACCGGATTCTCGGTGACCGCCCTCCTGGACTCCAGGGAGATGGACCTCGCCACAAAGGAGTTCGAGGCACAATGGTGCAACGTCCATGGAGCCCCTGAACTTGTATCAGCAGACCAAGAGTTCAACAACCGGAGGTTCAAAGAGTTCATCGCTTACATTGGCGCCAGATTCGAAGCTCGTCCGGCTCGTCGCCATAATAAGCTCGGGATTGTCGAAAGAAAAAACGCAGTGATTCGTCTAATCGCAGAACGTTTCATCAGAGACGCCGAGTATTTCGCCCAAGAACGAGGAGCCGCTACAGGACGGCATGATGTTGTGTCGCGAGCGACGTTCATAAGCAACATTCTATACGGCAACAAGAAGCTGAGCAGCTTCGAGCTATCCAGGGGCTACACTCCTTCGCTGGGGGGTCTTCCGCAGTCTCGAGTGAGACAGGAGCTGATAGCTGCACACGAAGAGCAAGTGGCCCGTCGTGCGCTTCAGCTCCTAGAGACGACAAGGAATCCTCGCACCGTTGATCCATCCCTGCTTCAGAGAAACACTCCAGTATATTACTTCAAGAAAGGCCTGAAGTTCGGGAAATGGGAGAAAGGATATGTTCGAGAACTAGAACCACATTCAGTTTCAATCTCGAGCAAACCTAGCCACAACGGTCTGCCAATCCGGGCAGCCTTCGAGGATGTGCGAGTCGCGCCGAGGTCTTCTCTCCTGCAAGAACTTGACAAAATGAACTATGTTTTTCCTCGCTCGTCCTCTATAGTGGAAGAAGACGAGTTCACAGGAGTAGATCCGGCTGCACCGCCTGAAGTCCCAAGCGATATTCTCGGAGAAGACTCTCCATTGCCAGAGATGTTCCCGTGGAATGCTGAAGCCGACTAACCGAGGGCAAGAATGACATTCACACCGGAATACGAGACTGAGGAAGCCATCCAGCCAGCCGTACCTGACTTGGATACAACAGAACTGGAGGACAGAGGAATTTCGGACACTGTGGATGCCTTAGATTTATTTGAAAAGGAGCACGCTCTGTGCGC